CCCCAAAACCCCAAAACCCCAAAACCCCAAAACCCCAAAACCCCAATATCTCATTTTTCAATTGAATAATTTTATTTTTGATTTGTTCAATATTCAACGAATAATTACACTTATTAGATTCTCAAAGAGTGTTTGAGATAGGTTAGAACAAGAAGATCCTCCTATGCAAGCCTATTGGCTATACTACTTCTGTATCAATTTGAAGGGTTCAGCATTTTGCGAATATCTTTACTTTTCTAAACGATAGTTAAGATTAAACAAATTAAAAATTTCTTACATCAAATCCTACTTCTTGCTTCTTTAAGGGCTTGATAGAAGTTTCGCTTGCTTCATCTGATCAAATCTCATCACTAGAATCTGAATATTCCTTTTGAATAATCTCAAATCCATTATTTCCAGTCTCTTCAAACTTATTAATTCTATGCTTTTTCCTTACATCAAATCCTTGCTCAACACAAATGAGGTTTGCCGGCATTTCTTGAACTGTATCTGAGGTTTTCACTGTGCAATTAAAGTAATTATCATCATATTGACTCCAATCATCATTCAGCTTTGAGATATTATCCTCCTCGAGAGGTGTAACTTCCGCTACATCTCTAAGAGAAGGATCTAGCTCCAGAATCCTCTTAATAATTTCATCAATAGATATTCTATTGACTACTTTTCTCTTAAGTAGCATCAGAATCAGGATATTAAGCTCCTCAGAGAAACAAGATGGTAGAGGATCTACCTTTCTCTGTTTGAAGATGTTTTTATTTCAAACCCTCCTGATCTCGTCCTCTGAATGGAACTATGTACGAACAAAGTTCGTACATAGTCACTCCCATGGACCAGATGTCTGCTTTGGAATCGTAGTTTCTCAAGAAAACTTCTGGAGCGATGTAGTATGGAGAGCCTGCCAAAGTGCTGTTCAGTTGGATAGTTTCTTTTATAATCTTACTGACTCCAAAATCTCCAATCTTTACTACATCATCTCCAAAGAGGAAAATATTGTCTGGCTTAATATCTCTGTGAATAATTTTCGAGTCATGAATATGTTTAATTCCAAGAGATATTTGAAGGAAAATTCTGAGAACTAAGTGTTCACTCAGGTATTTAGGGCCACCTTCAAGATTTTTACACTTGTTTATAAGGTCTCCAAGGCTACCTTTGGGAGCATACTCCATCTTGATCCATAGCTCTTCCTTGATTGCGCCAGTAAGCTCATCTGAGTCTTCTGATCTGATATCTTTCGAGAAGAATTGGGCTCCATAATACTTTATGATATTGGGATGATTTCATTTTGCTGTAGAGGATTACTGAAAAAGCGCTTACAAAGAAGGATGCATTCATTTTTCATCTCAGTTTTCTCCTCAACACAGCCTGGCTCTTCTACCTTCATTTTCTTGATAACGACTTTCTTATTGGTCTTAAGATCCTTATAAAGATATACTTTGCAAGTAGTGGTTTCTACGTGTTTAGGATTAAAATTTACCTCATAACTTATTTAATTCTCTTGAGATCCTTCCTAATGCTGACCCTCACTGGGTCTGAAATATCCAGACTCTGGGAGTGATCTTGATTTATAGTCCCATTGGATGAAATTGTCAATGGAGGAGTGGCAAGTTGCCCTTCAACTAGGTCTTTACTTCCAGTACTACATTCAATACTATCCATGGTTATTTAGATCAGTTGGGTTAAAATTAAAAATTAATTCACAATTTTCAGCATAAATTTCTAGAAGTGGGGTTTTGGGGTTTTGGGGTTTTGGGGTTTTGGGG